GAGAGAGAGAGAGAGAGAGAGAGAGAGAGAGAGAGAGAGAGAGAGAGAGAGAGAGAGAGAGAGTCTTTCCTCAGAAAACAGTCTTTGAAATTCCACCACCCTCTCTGTCCCTTCCCGATAGGCCATGCTGAGGCCCATATATTTGCAGAATTCTGACGGATGAAACTCGCTCGTACATTTGCTGACGACTTGCTCACCAGAAGCCTCGTTTGTAAATCCCTTGAAGATGACAGCAAGTATTAACACATTGTCAGTATGAACACATTGTCATATTCGCATCGTGGTAATGACGACTCACTGATATGGAGAATGAAGAATGGGGAGAGGAAGATGGCTATTCCAACTGCTCATCGCCTGACCTGATCCCACGTTGAAGCCCCCAAGTCGTACACGCAGACGCACACGTCCATGCAGGAGATGAATACTGCAGACGCTTCTGACTTGATGTTGATGTCCACCAGTAATAGCCACACTACTGCCTCTAGTGGCACATCAGCAATGGTGGCACATCAGCAATGGTGATGCATCCCACCACAACAAACCTGCTGTGAAAGGACTTTATTCAAACATCACAGGGCATCATCTCAGCAAAACACTTCTCCATGACAAGGCTCCTCGGTAGCATAATAATGATTTTATTTCCGTGTACAGAGGAAGAAAACCATCCATCGCAAGCTGAGAATGAACATCAAACGACACCGCGGCCTTGTTCAGAGTCTGAGCCATTATGTAATCCGTGGCTGAACGCAGAGCTATTGTCACCGCATCAGCAGCCATTCATGCTCACTCTTCATCTCTATTATGCTGGACAGCTTCTGACCATACAAACATGGGCCCCACAACATAGCCAGATTTTTGAACAGCCCGGCAGTGAAAAGGGCACCCCACGCATAGGAGGGCCGACTTTCCACTCTCTCTGTTGAGCAACAAAGTTATTTCCTCTAAAAAATATCAGTATGTTAATGGTGCTGCCATGGCTACTTTACCCATGCCTACGTAGTCAAGTCCTAAGGGAGTGGCTGGGGTCTTGATCTCCATGGCACACAAATCCTGTTGCCAAACTACAGAGCCATGATGGCCACTTCATCGTCTGCTCCAGTGGACAGCTCAGTTGCACTGCTACTGGTCTACGAGTAACCTGAACTGTAGTGGAATGCACTCCAGCCGACAACCTGTGGTCATAGCCCTCGAGCGCGAGTGGCTTTTGACTTCAAAAGGCTTCGGAATATGTGTGCAGCATGTGCTGCCCTGCCCGCTGACTTCTCTAGCTGTGACCTTAAACACTGGACAGTTCAGTTGCAATGCTAGTGGCCTACCAGTTACATGTGTACGCTAGTAGAATGCACTCGAGCCCACAACCTGTGACCATAGACCTCACGCGAAAGTGGCTCTTGACTACCAACAGCTTTCAAATCTGTATGCAGCATGTGCTGCCCTTCCCTCGGATCTCTCTAGCCATGACCTTCGACACATTATAACACTATGTCATGTCGATAGCAAACATTACGTCAATCCTCCCAATAACACCAGCATCATCACCAACTCCACTCAACAACCTCTCTCTCTCTCTCTCTCTCTCTCTCTCTCTCTCTCTCTCTCTCTCTGTGTGAATGGCTTGAGACCGAGATTGACAGTAGTGTGAGTTACATCCGTCAGGCGATGGCAAAATGCTGCTGCACTTGTCTGGCTATAAATGGTAAAAAGGGCAAAGCATTGGTTAGGTCTGTACAAATGAAGCTGCACTGTCAACGAATTTGGTATGCAAGATGGGAAATAGCAAGATTAGGAGCCTATCAGAAAGTAAAGCCCCCTTAAAAGCTGATGGGACAGACACCGCAATGTGCTGTGAATAGCACTCCGGTCTTGGAGGGCGATCTTAGTGCTCATATCATCGGGTATGGACAAATCAGCGCTCCACCCGCAGGAAGGGGACGAAGCAGGACGAGAGAGCAAGGGGCAGAGAAGTTAATCAAACTAGAATGGACATAACGGTACAAATTCAATCCTGAGGTGGAACGTGCATTCGCCATGCTGCCCCTGAATCAAGGGCATACTATTTCAACGATACGGGAGGAAGCACTTTTAATGATGCTAACTGAGACCTAGGGCACAAGTTCTGCATTTCGATTGGCCGTATGCACATGGTTACGAGCATGTAAATGGCGAGGGCGCACATCCCAAACGAGCTTCAGAGAACTCCAGAGCGAGAGTGCTCTTCATTTCTCAGAAAACAACCTGTAATCGAGTGCCATGCTACAACATGGAGTCCACAAGCGTCGGAGCCTCTCCCTCTCTGCTCTTTGCGTTGCGGGGACTCAAAGGAATGTGAAAAATCTCAGAAACACTGCAGATATGACTTACCTACTGTCAATCTTCAGAGTCCTCCAGGACTGCTGTCCCACCATGCTTTCCATGGTCTGCAAATTTCCGACAGGCCTGTGGTGTCCGTAAACTGGCGGCAAAAATTGTTGGGGCTGACTGATCCATAGCTCACAGATGAATCCCACCACTTTGTAACCTGCAATTGCCAGGCACACAATCGGTGCAATATCGACCTGCGGCGCTATTTGTGTGAGCAGAGAGCTGACCTTGTTCAGATGGTTGGGAACATTCTGCCCTCGCCGACTTCAATCTAGGAGACGAGGATCGGCAATGTGCCCATTTGCAGGCATGCCAGCAGCAGAACAGCGCTTGCTAGTAAGAATCATGTCCTGCAGTTGCGTCACCAGACTGTGGTCTTCAAGAAGCGTATCCATTGTTACATGTACGCCTGAGGCAATCAAAACAACATCAGTTGGATTATCAGCGCAATGGGAAATGAAATGAGTAACGCTGTCTACATAGCCTACCACCCTCCCAAAAAAGAAGGAACGAATGGAGAAACTGAAGAGAAAACAATAACCTCCCTAACACACACACACACACACACACACACACACACACACACACACACACACACACACAAAATCAGCTTTATACATCTGTTGTCCTGTCTTCTTTGTGTCTCTTTTACTGATCTTTTCGAAGTACTTTTTTGCATGTCTAATCGAGCACCTTCAAGAAGTGCCAAATATAGTGGAATGGTTGTCTGAAGTGCCTGCAGAAATCTTAGGGGGGGCATTCTGTTTGTGATGTCTGTGACGCATATGGTCTATGGATGATGATTGTCGTCTGTTCGAGTGGCTTCCTGGCTCAGCAGGTGGTGGCAACCAACAGTCTGCAGAGTTCTACTTGTGCTGTGAGTCGGTGATGGATGGCTTTGGTCCGTGTTGATGGTGTGGACTGCCTTGTCTGCACTCTCCGCTGCCTTGCTGCCTGCCCGCTTGCCTTGCTTGTCTTTCCCTGCAGCTTGTCGGTTTGCTGTGTGATCAGGTGGCCTTATCAGTGTTGCTGCGTGCCTCGGTGCATTGTCGCCTTGCCGCCTATCTGTGTGCCTCGTCTTTCCGTGTACTCTGCTTGCACGCCGTCTAGTTTGGCTGCTCTGTCAGCGCTGCTTTGTGCTTCGGTGTGTTGTTGCCATATTGCACATCTGCTTGCACTGCCGTTCCATGAAGTTAGCTTTGACGTTGTGCTGTTGGGTTGCTCCGGCAGTGTTGCCTGGTGCTTTGCCAAGTCATTGACTGCTGCTATGTTCTGCCTGTGGTGTTGCCTGCTGGCAGTCTGCTTTCAACTAGGGTCAAAGGGTTCATGACCCAAAAGCATCAGTATAGGCATTCCGCAGATTGTTGAGGGTTCAGCATCCTGATTAGTCAGTGCAACTACAACATAACAATCTCCTGTGGTGTTGCCTGCTGGCAGTCTGCTTTCAACTAGGGTCAAAGGGTTCAAGACCCAAAAGCATCAGTATAGGCATTCCGCAGATTGTTGAGGGTTCACCATCCTGATTAGTCGGTGCAACTACAACATAACAATCTTTTCATCATCTGTTCTCTCTCTCTCTCTCTCTCTCTCTCTCTCTCTCGTGACGCACAGGCGCGCGCGCGCGTGCCTGTGTGTCATCCTTGCACAGGGGGCATGCTAATCTTCTCTGTATCGTTCCGATTTTAATGGATGTCCTGAATGATTTCATCATCTGTTTTTGTTCTTTTCGCTCTTTCATTTTTGGCTTGCTGCGATTTGCTGTTTGTCTGCCCACCTGCCTCCCCCGTGCCTCCAGCCCATGTCTTTTGCTGCACTGTCTTTCATGCTTCGCTGCTTTGTGCCGTTTATCTGCCCACCCGCCTCCCCGGTGCCCTCCAGCCTTTGTCCTTCGCTGCCCGCTGCTCGTCCAATGCCTTATTGCTCTCCGCCCTTGCTTTACTGTCTTTCGTGCATTGCTACCTTAGCTTTTCTGCCTTTTGGATCGCTGCCGTTTGCCTTGTTGCTTTTTGTTTTCTGGTTGGTTTGCTTTTATGACCTTTGCATGAATTCATGTGCGTTTGTTTCATGGGCATACCAGGCTCCGGGCTCATTCTCAAGTGTTGCTTATGACCATACTTTTCGAGGCAACATGCCACGGCACGGTGTGGAAGTTTGATGCTACGTAAACACACACACACACACACACACACACACACACACACTGCGTGTCATCCTTGCACAGGGACCATGCTAATCTTCTCTGTATCGTTCCAATGTTAACATGTGTCTCAAAGGACACACACAATTGTATTTATATATAAGATGTGACACACACAATTGTATTTATATATGACGTTTCCCCTGTTCTTCTTCTCATTCTAAGCATTCCCTTTCTTCTTTCTGTTCTTTTGCCCCTTTCTGGTATCACTTTGTATGTTCTTTTGCCCTTCCTAGTACTCTTCTTGTGTCTAATTCAACACCTCTAAGACGTGCTAAATAGTCCATGCCTTTTTGTTTGAAGTGCCAGCAACAATATGAACGGGGCTGCTCGGTTCAAATTGCCTGTGTCTGTGTTCCTTGGGTGATGACAGGCGTTTGTCGAAGGGGCTTCCTGGCTCCAATGGGGATGTGAACCTGCAGCCTGCGGGGTTCTATTTGTGGTGTGAGTGCATGATGCACTGCTTTGATCCGTGTATGGACTGTCTTGTCTGTGCTTCTCTGCAGCCTCCGCTGGCTTGGCACCCATCCACTTGCCTCGTCTTTCCGTGCTGCTTGCCTGTTTGCCGTGTGGTTTGGATGCCCTGTCGGCATTTCCTTGTGCGCTGCAGCCTCTCGATCTTGCTGCCTTGCTGCCTTGCTGCTGCTTTGTCTTGCTTCTTTGTTGCTTTGTTGTCTTGCGGCCTTTCTGCTTTGTTGTCTTGCTTCCTCGCTGCTTTGTTGCCTTGCTGCCTCGCTGCTTTGTTGCCCTGCTTCCTTGCTGCCTAGCTGCCTAGCTGCCTAGCTGCTTTGTTGCCCTGCTGCCTTCCTGCCAAGCTGCCTTGCCGCCTTGCTGCTTTGTTGCCTTGGTGCCTTGGTGCCTTGCTGCTCCCTGCCACTTGCCTTGAGTGGCGCTGCCTTGCTGCCTAGCTGCGTAGCTGCTCTGTTGCCCTGCTGCCTTCCTGCCAAGCTTCCTTGCCGCCTTGCTGCTTTGTTGGCTTGGTGCCTTGCTGCTCCCTGCCACTTGCCTTGAGTGACGCTGCCTTGCTGCCTTGGTGCCTCACTGGAAGCTTGCCTTGCTGCCCCATTGCCTGCTGCACATCAGGTCACACTGTGGCTTGCCTTGTCGTTTGTCCCTTGTCCATACTCCCTGTTGCCTTGTCGTTTGTCCCTTGTCCATACTCCCTGTTGCCTTGCTGCCTTGCTGTGTCACTGGCTCACTGCCTTGCTGCCTGCTACTTGCCTTGTTGTTTAACTGCCCACCTGCCTCCCTATGCGCTTTGCGGTTTCTTCTTGTCCAGTGCCTTGTTGCGTCGCCCTTGCCTTGCTGCTTGTAATGTCACAGGACTCTGCTGACTGTAGAGGGTTCAGCCTCATGATGAGTCGGTGCAAGTTTGATGAAACAGCCTGTCACTATCCTTGTTCCGTTTTCGAAGTTCGTTCTTTTCAGTTCTCATGTTTTCTTTTCTGGCGTCCACCCTTTCCACAATTGTTCTGTCCACTGAGGAGCTAGGTGAGGATTGTCTTCAGGTCCTTGCGAATGGTTTCCTCCGGAGTACAACTGAGTTGTACTGAAGCTATATGGAATGCCTTTTCACACACACACACAAAGACATCCCCTTTACTCTGTGTCCTTTCATAGTGTGCAAGTGGGCCGTTATGGCACACAGGGATGTGGGCAGCTTGCCCTCAACTTCAAAGAAAGCAAAGAAAGGAATGTACAAGGAAAAGGCAATATAATTATATAATGGTTTTACCGTCGTCCATGTTGTTTGCAAAAGTGGTAAAGCTGTTTCAGTTCTGATACTGCTCATCTATATAATGGTTTTACTGTCGTCCATGTTGTTTGCAAAAGTGGTGAAGCTGTTTCTACAATATAAAGATGGTCTGAATAATTTTTGCAGAGACACGAATCAAGTCCTCACCCCAGCTGAAGAAGTACACAAACACAACTTGAGAGAGGCAAGAAATTAGAGCTTACGGTATTTCCAGTAATGCCTGTTGTTCCTGGGATTATTCACCGTCTCTTCCTGCGCAGGCCTTCGAGCATACTCTTCCCTCAGTGCCATCAGATCCTGTACATAAAAGTGGCCAATCGTCAAAAACGTCAATTCTCCTCCTCATGTACGCTGTTGATCATTGGCTGTCGTCCTAATACCGACCAAATGCTGCTGAGCAAACACTAATCAGTCACCACTATGCAACCACCTCCAAACCTATATTCTGTCACTGATGAAACCTGTCCGATTCTTTGGACGACAAAACTTTTCTACCTTGAACCTGGTGTGATTGGCATGAATGAAATCTCAACCTCAAAAGAACTAACAGACTTCCTATGAGCTTCTATGAAATCCCTTCACAAATTCACAATCCAATTTATTTTTTTTTGTCAACAAACACCCAGAGTGACTGCTAAATGACAGCCAGGATATTTAGAATTTCCACGTTTAGTCCGCATGGCTCACGCTGCTGGATGAGGACTCATGAGTGGTATGAACCTGGCGATCAGTCACGTTGCGTCCACCAGTGGCGTTTCCGAAAAACTAATGGGCTGCAAGGCGAATGGTTTATAGTACTTTATACCTAAACTGGCACTTATCAAAACCTAAACTCCAGGCTTGGTTGTCTAAACCATTAGCAACACAATGTTGACTCCAATAAATGGCAGTAATGGTATAGTGCAGACTATAAACCACCACTACTTCTTGAATCCACCGTGGTTACCAGGGAACTCGCCCTTTTTTTTTTTTTAAATACCATTTTTATTAAAAAGACTGGAAATCTGCTGACCAATCCTTTTCCTTTTTTCCTTTTTTTCTGTATTATTTTTTTTAAAAACTGCCACTCCCTATGAGCCTGTTTTTGCTGAACGTGAATTTTGCTGCGCACCAAGTTTTGCCGATCCCAGGTCCCATTGTGATTTTCTTTCTGGACGCCACAGTGCTAAGTGTGAGTATAAGGTGAGTGAGGCAGCCAGTTTCCCGGAGTGGAATACACCCTGCCACGCTGGCAGGGCACTACAACGAACGGCATGAAAAGAAGAAGAAGGGGAAAAAAAAACAGCAATCACCTTCTACACATGGTGGTGTGGCTTCCACCTCCACGAGGGGCTTCCCCCGACGTCGCTGGATTTGAAGTTCTTACTACTTAGTTCTTTGTCTTTTTTTTACCTCCTTTTTTTCATTTCTTTTTTTCGGCCTCCAACCCTGCCCTGAGCCCCCAGCTTCTTCGGGATGGGTTACTTTTGCGACTTAGCGTCCCAGTGTACAAGGTAGTGGTGGCTTAAAGAAAAGAAGACCAAAAAAACCCTTTATATTCTGGGGGTCACAAGTTGGGTTACTTATCCCCGGCAAGCACAGGTACCAGGGCGGAAAGGAAACAGGGAACAGGACAGGGTTAGGAGTCTCAGCACTCTTGGGAGTCATCTAGGAACCAGGAGCCTACCTAAGTACCCAGTCATTCCTGTCTTTTATCCTTACCTGTCTTGCAATTGCCTATTCAGCCTGCAAGGATGAAAAAACTAGAAATTTAGTAGAAATTACTAGAAAACGAATAAGCTACTATCATAGTTTAGGATGATCACTAGAAAATTAACGAGCATCCCTTACATACTCTGCTGGTTAGGTTTCGAGTTAGTACGCTGGCCTGGCTGTGCAGCATTCATAAGAAATTTCAAATTTTGTTTGCAAAAAAGAGAAAAAAAAAACAAACGAGCATACTGCTCTCCCTGCAATTATTCCTATAGTACCTCGGAATGGGCCAAAGAACAAAGACCAAACCCGAAATGGAAAGACTGTATAACCAAAGGACAGTGACATCAATATGAAGGAAAAAATGAACCAGTAACTAGACCCCTCTAGAAATCACGACTGACTTTCTAGGATGCTGAAGTACCCTGCACTTTCTCTAACTTATAATCCTTGGCTACACCCTACCGTCTTCACCGAATAGAACGCCCGGTCATTATCGCTGTATCTAGACAAAAAACTGCACCAAATACAGCTATCATGACCGGGCGTTCTATTCGGTTGAAGATGGTAATAGGTCACAGTGATCCCGTATCTACGACAGCAATCACGGAGCCATCTACTATGACGCTGAGCTCCGCATGTTTGGAGCGTAAGACAGCCAACCTCACTATCAGTCGTGGCTGGTGACTTCAGAAATTGTCATCAGAATGCATCTGGTCAGAAACAGTCACCAGGCTGCATTTTGCTGAGTACGCCCATAATCAGCATGATGCATGTGTTCACAACGAGGCTAAGGTCTGTGCTCACCCATCTGTGCCCACAAGTTCAAAGGGTTCACTGCATCTGGCAATTTGCCAATAGGACGATACATTGCACATTTCCTAGTAGTTCCTGCAGGATAAGTACACAATGGAATATTTACAGACGATCACATGGCACGAATCGCATCGGATTTTGCCCTTTATACTTTGCAACTGCATGACATCAGGAAATGAAGATCATGGATATGACTGTGTACCTGAATGGGAAACACAGCCCAGATACTTGGCGAGTCAAGGTGCTGCTGAATGATAGCTCTTGAGATTTCGGGAGTGCACTTTGCTGGACACGGCAAGGATTTGTCGAGAACTTTCACATGGTACCGTTGCCGTCTACCTTCATCTTCTTCCCACCAACCGCGCATCGTGCTTGTATCGTGGCAAGAAGGCGAACAAACCTGCTCCAATGACCGATCCCATGTCTGTCGTCATTACACACAACTAGCTCCTTTGGGAAGGCAAAGAACCGCAAAACGAGTGAACTGACCACACCACATCTACTGTCTTCTCCCGAACACAATGTACAGCAATCATGAGTGTATACAACTATCTTTCTGGCCCGATACAGCCATAATGAGGGTGTGTTGTGCTCGGGGGGCGGCAGTAGCATTGCATCAGGATGATCATGTATCCACAGAGACATCTCCAAGCTACCATGCCATGGTACGATTCTGATTACTAGACGACCCATTGCGGTTTTGCCCACAAAAGCAAAAGGAGATATGAAAACATCATGGCAGTCTGTCATGCCCAACAGAATTAATGTTTAGCTCAGCAAAAACACGAAACAAAAGCCAATGCCAATATGCATAAGTGAGCCAACGACTGTTTTGCTAAAACCACTTCATTTCCTGGCAATAGCACTCTTTCTTGAACGGCCGCAGGGAGCCAATCCTCCACACCATGTGGCAGGCACTGGCCTCTCTCTCTCTCTCTCTCTCTCTCTCTCTCACACACACACACACACACACATCCTGCGTGCAGGCGGATTCCTCGCTCGCATCGAAATTAAACACGGCAGTAGCATAGTCAGGGGGGGTGACAGGGGGTGGGGGAGGTTGGCGGCGTAGTGAAGTTAATTGGCGGGATGCGGCGGAGGGAGGGAGGAGGTTGGGCAGAGGAGATGAAGAAGAATAAGTGAAGAAGAAGAAGAGTCAAAGAAGAACAGGAAGAAGAATCAATGAAAAGGACACTTCATACATATAACATTAGCTGATGATTTTCCCTCTTCTTCGATTCCTCTTCTTCTTCAATTCTTCTTCTCCTCTGCCCAACCTCCTCCGTCCCTCCGCCACATCCGCTTCAGTGCTGCGTCTTCAATGCATATGGAAACGGAGATACAATTCCGCTGGAGACGGGCAACTACAGCAATGAAAAGAAGACCAGAAAAAGCACGAGAGGTTCTGAAGTCTCTTGACGGGAAATGGTTAGGCCAAGGCAAACAGTTTTTCAGGATGACCGACTGGGGCTTGTGAATTGGTGTAGTTTCAGGAGTACTGGGAAGAGTGGGGATAGGGAACAGAGAGCAAAGGATTTGTCGGTTTTGTCCAGGTTGCTTTTCCAAGGTTGGCCAGATCATGAAAGAGAGGCTTTTCAAAGAGTGAGAGGAGCAGCTTGCTGTTCTGGTCATCAAACCCTTTCAATGAAGGAAAGCTATCAATGCTGTGATGTTAGCCTGCCAGTGGAGGTAAATCCGAACTGTTGCTCCCCAGAACAGAACAGAACTGTGACTGTAAAGTCATTTTCTAGTAGCTCGTGCCAAGTTCACAAAAAAGTCAGGAAACGCCAAGCCACCAACAGCATCAGTTGTAGTTCCTGCCAGGTTTCTGGCTGGAAAAACAAAAAACGCACAAAATTCCAAGCCTCCCACAACATCAGTTGACAAGCACACACACACACACACACACACACACACACACACACACACACACACAGAAACACTGACGCACCGTGGCGTACTCGTACTCCACCGGGATTCCAAACTCCCTTCCGGGCCCTCCCAGCATCCTCTGGATACGAAGCCCCAACAACCCGAGTTCATTCAGAACCTGCAGGGACAACATGCAACAGAGAGGTCAGTCCTTAACTCCTTCAAAAGAGAAGCCCTTACCAAGGCAGGCTTCCACATTAGAACCCTGAACCTACTAGCCGCTGACATTTCACTTATCTACAAAGGATATGGGAGACACCTCTGATATGTCATTTACCGACAAAGCGGATGGGACGCATAGCAACTAATGAGCAGCTTTTCTCGAGATGTAATGCTGCAATAACGAGGAGCATTACAGGATGGTTCCTGCTCACCTCACCTGTTCCCCTGACTCCCCACCCCCACCCTAGCCACCACCCCCAACTCCAATCCGAGACCTCGAATTTGATCCGATGGGCCTGGAAAATGAACACGGCTGCTGCACATGCTGGTTGTTGGTATAATGTGTTCAACTAGTCCACCAAATTGGGCTATCCACTCCGCAGGACTGTTCAGACAAAGAATATGCTGAAACAGAGGTGGGCGGAGTACTTACCTGGGGTTTTGGGACCGCGAACAGTCGTTTCATGGATGGTGGTCCTCTCCATTCGCAACACTCAAATTCGCAGTATGCAATGGCTATCATGCTCTTCCGTTCAATCAGCGGTTAAGTACAAGACAGTCAGCGGCAGCTAGACATGCATTAGACGCCATCTGCACCATTTGTGAGGAGGGGGTAGTGGAGAATCTCAGCCACTGCCTCATCAACTGCTCCAAGGCGCAGCAATTTTGGTCCATGGTGTCGCTTCTCTGGGAGTCTGTCACAGGCCAGCACCTACCGAAAGATCCAGCGATCTTGCTCACAGGATTCAGGGACCTCTCGTTTACAGAGAAATGGGTGTGCAAAAAAAAAAAGAAAAGAAAAAGAAAAAGAGATATAAAAAAGGCTTTGTCCATTAACATTGTGGACGACCTGGAAGTGGACGTCTAAATAGGCCATAGATCAGCGATCCACACCAGTGTAGGAATCTCGCAAAGGACTCTTGCAGATGCTCTATGCGGAGTACTACATGGACTGGCAAAGGACTTGCAAACAAACTAATCACGCAAGACCCCACCAAGAAACAGGTTATCATTGACGACTTCACAAAGAACATTTTGGGGAACGGTAAATTGGGCTCCCTCGAGGGTGAAGTACCCACATTACGCTGGTCACTCCATCGAAGCTACCAGACAGAACCTGCCTTATCCTTACCTATATCCACTGAGACATGCCCCTCTCAGATAATAGGTACAGCTTTGGCAACTGCCTGAGCCAAGGGTTTAGGTTTTAAAGGTAGTAGCACTTCTGGGGGGATGTCACACTGGTGATGGGTGTTAATCGCCTGATTTTAAGGGCTGTTTCGTTGGACAGGGTTCAAACTTCAAATTAAAAGGGGGTGGGGACAGATGGCAAGTATGGGCTTAACTGACAGCAAATCGTTCACCTTATGAAGCAATCAATGCTGTCAAGGTTCCCGGGGAAGCGTGGTGTGGTTTACAATTGCATTCCCTTATGCTGCTCCCCAGAACAGAAGGAGCCTTTCACCACTCGTGTTCCCCATTTCCCATTACTGGTTACCACTCACCACAAATGCCATACTACCTTGACCAAGGACAGAAAGAGGCTGCAATGTGCAATCAACGTACCACACATCACATACCTCAATAATGCCCATGCCTTGCACTAGGAGGAAGAGAAAAGCCCCTACTTGAGAAAGACATGGGAAAGGTGCCAGAGATGGCTCCATCTCCAAACGTTTTTGTTCAGGCATGAACATTGTTTACACACACACACACACACACACACACACACACACACACACACACACACACACACACACACACACACAAGCACACATACACAAAAGCACACGCGCACATGCACGCCCGCACAAATGCACATGCACGCCCGCAGAAATGCACATGCACGCCCGCACACACGCACATGCACGCCCGCACACACGGACATGCACGCCCGCACACGCACATGCACGCCCGCACACACGCACACATGCGCACTCTCACACACACGCACACACACAAAAGCACGCCCGCGCGCACACACACACGCGCGCATGTAGGCACACTCAGAGACACACACATGGTGAAAGTCCGACGAAACAGTCGGGCACAGTCATGCTTTTTTTTGTGGAGTTGTGTATCTGGAACATGACAAGACACACACATCCACAACCACACCCACACCCACACCCACCCACACGTGCGTGGGCTTCACAGTAGCCAATTGAAAGGGAATTTGAGTGATGGACTGACGAGTTGGATAACCAGAATAAGGACTCCAATGTTACCACAAAAACACATGACCAGCAGGCCTGGGAAAAACTGGAAAAATGAACCATGTTGAGAAACAGACTTAGACAAGAAATGTAGAAACACATAAAAGACGCATCGAATTTCACATACCGCCTACCCATTCTGCTATCAACTTAAAATTAAGCCATTCCAATGCAACTATTAACATCGGGAATGCTAGGAAAACAGCTATCACAAAGAAGCGAAAAGAGTGGCCCTAACGTATCTCATGCAGCTGATATAAGGGAAGGCGATCAACGGGAAGAGGTGGAATATAAACATCCAGTTTCGCAAGTTCAAAAAAGAAACTGGGTGAAGGAAATTGATGAGGCTTACAGGTTTGACACAGGCTGGAATCATTCCCAAGTCTTCGACACAAGGAAGCATGCGAGACGCGTCAATGAGCTGTGGCAGAGTCTTGAGAGCATTTTCTCGCCAGAGGTTGTCTTGACGATGGTAAAAATAGTTTGTGTGCTTGCTTAGCAAGACTTGCTTGCTGCTTAGGAAGGATTCCACATCACAGGCCAAATGAGTATGAGACCAGAGAGACATACATACACACATTTACTTGTCTGGCGGCCAAATGGTACAACACATCGTATCACACCTACAACTACCTATCGACAGGCTCAAGACTCCTGTCCAACAGTTCAAGACAACAACGCGACTCTCGACCTGATTTCCCTCCATATCCCAGTCTGACGCCTTCAAAACAAAACAAAAAACCAACAAAACGGAGAAAGCAATTTCTCTGATATGACTGCGATATCTCACATTACAATGGTTCAACACACGGTAACACACCTACAACTACCGATCGACAGGCTCAAAGTTCAAACCAAAAGCACAAAGAGAAACCTTCTTCAGCCAGTTCGAGTTTGAGACTTTAAAATTTAAATGTATGCGATGCCCACACTCCGATTTCTTTAGCCATTTTGAATCAAGGGCTATCAATGCCTAAACTACATAGCCAAAGAACATAGCTATAGTACATAGCGCTAATCTGCACCTGACTCGTAGCAGCAAGTCTGATTGCTGCTGATTCAAAATGGTTTCCAACTTTCCATCCACTTTCAGCCCAGTTGATAGGGCCTTGCTCGACTACTCGCCACATGCACAAAAGACAAAAAAAAAACGGCGGTGTTATCTTTCCCTGTTCTAGCAGAAGATCCATTCTCATTTGTCACATTTGGTGAGTAGTGGAGTGAGGCCCATAAGCGGCTGTTTACACTGCTGAAAGTCACACATGTGACGAATTCCGAAGAAGGATAAAAGTGGATAAAAGGACGGCACCCAGAAAAAGCAAAAATGAAGGGAAACAACCTGCCAATTATAACTTTCCCTAACAAGAATCATGAGAAATATTGTGACGAACTGTGCGTGAGCTGTTGACACTTACACTTGATGCGCTTAAGTTGGGATAATACTCGGTGAAATCAAGAGTTTTGCGGGTATCGAACCCATTCTAGCCATGGGATTTTCACAAGATCTGCAAAGCTCAGAGCTTTTTTAGCATGGTTGCTCTGTTTGAATCCTCTGGCTACCTCAACTTCTGGTCTTCTTTTTCCTGCATGCCACACTTTTGTCACTTCGATTGACAACCAGGAACTCCAGCAGAGGGTTGCAGTGGAGAAAAAAGAAGAAGGAAAACCCGAACAGTAGCCGTGGATCGACATGCTTACCTGTGTTCATCTAGATCCCTGAAACTCCGTGTGTTTTCCATGTTGAAAGTCGGATGAAACGCCCGCGAATTATCAGTATCCCTGATCAGCACTACGTTCTACAAGCACAGACACATAAGCAATCATCAGAGAATGACGGAGATCCGTTGTTTTTAGCCTGAGGACAGTGAGGAGATCGAAGGGTCAAACATGCTGGGGTCTGCTTGGCACGCCCTGTGAATACAATTCAGTATGCACTACTCCGTTATGAATCACGTATGCGATGCATGGGGATTGATCCATCCCCACAAGTGCACCTGAAGACCATGCGAACAACGCCAAACAGACCTAACCAAGATCGCAGCAACCACTCTGGGAAAGCTGTTTGGAAGTAAGAAGAACAGTCTTCCCTTCCCTCCCCCTTCTCACCAATCCTACTGCTTCGTGCTCCACCAGCAGTCTCCATTGCCATCATATATGTGAGGGGACAAATTATTTTGCCCACAACATAAGAGAGAGAGAGAGAGAGAGAGAGAGAGAGAGAGAGAGAGAGAGAGAGAGAGAGAGAGAGAGAGAGAGAGAGAGAGAGAGAGAGAGAGAGAGAGGCGCTGGTGTTCTGGAATTTTTTTATCCAAGGAAACTTCTAAACGAGATGGTTTGTTTCTTAAAATTCGGTTATATCTTATATTTTGTTTGATGGTCGACTTGCAATTTTGTTGAACAGAAATAAGATCACCACTGGAAACTTGAAAGCTAGGCCGAAGGATAATTTGATTATTAACACAAATATTTTTATGACTTACGATCATCGAAAGCTCCGTAAAAAAAAAAGAGAATTCATAATGGCTTTTAGTCCACTAGAACAATTTGCTATTATTCCATTGATTCCTTTTCATATACGAAACTTGTATCTTTCTTCTTTTACTAATTCATCTTTGTTTATGCTACTCACTATTAGTGTAGTTTTGCTTTTATATCTGTTCATGGGCCGATCGAATGGGGACGTCTGAGAAAGCATTCATTTCTTTGGAAATTATCCAGCCCAGGAAAACATGTTGCTATTTTGTGCTACAGAGGAGATGAGATGTGATCTGCCCACTTAGAGAGTCACCCTTTCTGTTTTTCATATTTGATCACTTCTGGTAGGTACTTTCAGTCATTCTTTGCCCCACTGGAAGGTGCGGGTCACAGCATGTAACTGTGTACCTAGCACTGGAATTATCAGTACAGCTTTTTGCTTCATGGTACCTACTACAAAGCCATGTATTGATCAAATGGCATCTTCTGCATTGATACTGGAGCTATGTAGCTTTGGTATGGCAGCTGCAGCAACCAGGATGGAGCACATGTGGCATCATGGCATGACATCCGAAACGCCCACCAGAAGTGCAATATCAACAGGTGTTTGGTAACAAAAAAAAGAAAAATGGGTCTATAGACTCTATACCATGTATGCACTACTATGCACTTAATCTTTAGGCACAGGTGGGAACCACTACCTTCTTCACCCAAAGACCCCTACTTTTCAGCCCATAGGTTAACCCATCAAGCACTGAGAAAAGCATTTGGAGATAAAATTTTCCAGTTATTTCCTTTCTTGTTTTCTTTTTTTTTTTCATACCGGAGTCTTTTCCGGTTTTTGTTTTGGGCCCTGTTTCATCCTTGGTCAAGGTTTGTGTTTGCCAAGTCTGGTGTTGCTTGGAGCCTTGGAGATGACCGTTTTGGTAAGCCCTTAAAATCCTGAAAATCCTGAAAAACTGGGTGAATTTTGCATCAAAGCAAAAACTGGGTATAAGCCGCTTCTCCGAGCGGTACTGAGTCTGGGACACTGTGCGACCGAAGTGTCTTGCAAATAAGAGCATGCACACAATCTTTTTAAACCACCCCTACCTTTGAGGCTGAGAGGCTAAGTCATAAAAGTAACCCATACCACATTCTTCGGAGACCGGTGGAGGCTGGGCGCTACCGGACCACAAAGGCTGGCGGCGCCAGCCAAAAGAAAAGAGACACGCCGCACTGGCGCTTCGGGCCCCCGTTGGCGCACAGTTCGAACCGGCCTCGGCAAAACGAGGCTCGGGGGCCGTGGTGGTTTAATGCGCTCGAGGCAAAAGCAAACTTGCTTACGCTCTCATGCATTGAAGGAAACCGTTCACGTACATTGACCTGGTGGGTGTGAACCGTGTGATTGGTCTATTCTCAAGAGTGTGCATGTCTACTTCAACTCTCTATCCAGTCTAGTCAAAATAACAGCTCACCCATTCTGTCACACTGCAAATATCACCATCAATAAAGTCAGCCTAAAACCAAATCCAACCTGATAAACCCTGTCCACAGTGCATAAACAAGCTACCCAATCAGAGGATCAAACAGGGGTACACTGACACTCGCTCCCCAGAAATAGGAGCGCAGCCCAGGAGGGCCGGTCTTCCCTTCCCCCCCCCCCCCCCCCCCCCCCCCCCCCCCCCAAAGCCCCCACCCCCGCCAAAAACGGGGGTACAACATTGCAGCTGATATGTGGGTTACCACGTTCACAAAAATAACAACACTACACCACTAGTAGTTGCACAATTTAATGCCAGTGCACTGTGCGACTGATGAGCGGAATCATGGAGCCTGGTGTGGTGTTGTGTGGTGCGATCTTCCGCCTTATCGTTCATGTGCAATATGGATAGAGCGTGGTGATCGTGGAGGGAGTCATAATGTGCCACGAACTCATACAAAATGCTGGAAAGCCTGGAATGCTATTGATCATTTACCTGCAGCAACTCTAGCAAACCCTCCTTCGTCTGCGCCAACTCCTTTTCAAGCCAATCTGGAGAGTTTTCCTTGCAGCGGAGGGCGGATGCAATCTTCTGCTCAGTATTGTAATCGTCTCTGAACTGTGTTCACAGCATACAGCCAAAGCCACTGTAATTAGGCACCAATGTAAAGTTGTAAACACTTGGGCAGGTACTTTTTCAAATCAGGCACAGACCAAAACACTGCTACGTTCATGCTATAGCAGAAGCACGAACATGACCACGATTATGAACCGGCTCATGCTTTCCACGCAAGAACATAGCGTCAATGAGACCTAACCCTTACTGGCTCTATTAGCCAGTGTCCATAACATACCTACTGCCAAATTGCCAAATTGCGAATGGAAACACTCTATGCGTCACGGACAAACCTGAAGCTATGCTTTGCGTATAGCCCCAGAGACTTGAAAATCGATTGCAGATGCGTTTCAAATATATTCTCCGACGATCAAAGAATTTCGATATGACCCTGAGTTGTCCACCTTTTTTTTTTTTTTTTTTAATCCGGTTTATTTTTCTGCACAAATATATTCTCCGACGATCAAAGAATTTCGATATGACCCTGAGTTGTCCCCCTTTTTTTTTATATTTTTAATCCGGTTTATTTTTCTGCACAACATAGTTTTTTTTCCGGATTTTTTAGATTTCTTTTTTCTCCCCCTCTCCAGGGACCTTCGCTGGCGCTCGCCCAGCCAGGTCGCCTGGGCAACCTAGGTGACCTTAGGCAGCAGCTTAATACTAAACAAGAGCCATGTTCCTTCTGGAAATGATAACCATCCATCGACAGGAATTATGCAGAGAATAGAATCAATGGATTCAATGCCAATTTTGCCAAACTATAACAACTGATAAGCATTAGCCATCGACAGGGTCAGCGATCACTATCTTACCAATTCTTAAGAGCCATTGGTGTTTAAGCCTTCAGGTCTGAGGACGGAAACATATAATATCCCAAATTGGCCTCAGCAATCAAAGGTCAGCATAGCGGGATGTCAGGCATGCAATCTTTAACCTTGGAAATATCTGTGGTTTAGGTCTCATTTACTTACCTCATAGCATGACGGCGCATACTCATGAAAATATCTTGCTGCTACTTCATTCCATCGGGTCCCAAAGATGTCCTGCATGCAAGACAAACATCCAGACTGGGGTCACTATGAATGCTACCATGAAGGCAGGTAGATGCATCATATCACATGACCCCCTGAAGTGGCAATAACAGAATATGTACTGTGGAAACCACAAAGGGATTTGATTTCTGTGGACTAAAGCAACAGCAACCATGATGATCCAGCCAGAAAAAAAAAATAAAAAAATTCCAGCCAATGTGAGAAAGGCAGGAAGACTTGATTGATGCTGAAGTCCTTTGCTATATCAATGTAAAGTTGTAAACATCTGTATTAAATTTAGACGGTATACGCCATGCCACCCATTCATCACCTGTTGAGAAGAAGAACAGATTTCCATGCGCTCACAGCAACTGTGGTGCCCACATTCTTTGCTGCAAACCACTCACCCTTCAGGCATTTGCCATTCCCCTGCCTCACCTTTGTCTCCCGCTGGCAAGGCAGACTGAAAATATTGAGGAGATACAAACAAGATGTAGACGGGAACTCACCACACTCCTTATATTCACACAATGAAGCAATCTGATCATTCTGATTTCTTTGGTTAACAGTCGGTGGATGAGGAGATTTAAGTTTACAGTTACAAAATGCAACACACGGTTGTGTAAAAAATATGACACAAAGAAAGTGGAACAGAACAGAGAAGTATCACCCACACAAAGCGTAGACAAAACAGCTCAAAGAATGGTCCTCATTGATGGAATGAATGCCATTGACATGACCAGCGGGCCTAGCTTAGTCGGTACACCCACGAACTGTTGAAACACAGACCCCAAGTTCGGTTCCAGATGCAATCAGAATGCCATTAACATGAAGTTTGGCACCTTCCCCTTCCCTTTCAAAGTTCTTTTGCGAGTATATCAAGATCTCTCTCTCTCTCTCTCTCTCTCTCTCTCTCTCTCTCTCTCTCTCTCTC